GAGCACACTCCGGGCTTTCAGTTGCTCTGGGCACAGGCTCATGACTGATTTGTCTAGGGGGAGGGATGTGATCCCGAACAGTGGCAATGCAGTGTGATGGAGTAGAAGCTGGGCATTCTCTGGGCAGCAAATGGTTAAGCCCAAGAGTTGTGATAGCAACACCTGTGTGCCCAGGGTCCAAGCACAGGCACCGGCATTCCTGTTGCCTTCCTTAGCACACCCCACCCCACAGCCTGGCCCCAGCTCCCTCCTAGACGCCTCAGCTGGAAGGGAATGATGAAGACCAGTAGTCAGCACCTCCAGTCAGGATATGGTGTCTGGGCAAACTGAGACCATGAATAAGGGCCAAGGAGTCGGCTGTGTGAATTCAGCTTTGTTCCTCTATCTCCCTCTGGCCCATCCGAGAGGCTGTCCTCCTAAAGACAGGAGGGCTCCAGGCAGACAAGGGCAGTGTCTTAAGCACGTAGGCTCTAGAACCAAACCACCTGTTTCAAGCCCTGCCTTCACCAGTTGGACAACTTACCTAGCCTCTCTGTTTTATCATCTGTAAAGTGGGGGTGATGAGCTGTGAGGAAATATATTCGGAGTTCCCGGAAGAGGACCCTGCCTGCCGGGGGTGTACCCCAAACTGGCTGGTTAGTAATCCACAGCATTTCTTCCTTTCTTTCTTTTTTCTTTTTTTTTGGCCTGTTCCCTAAATTTTCTACAGGGCCAGAAATTTTTTCCTAAATTTTCTACAGGGCCCAAATTTTTGGCCACAGGAAAGCCCTATTTTGAGCCATAGACTGAATTTTGCATTTCCCTGACTCTCCCAACATTTGAAGAGAAGAGGGTCATTTGAAGCCCCAAGGGGTGGATCCAAAGCCATGTGACCCCACGCTGCACACACACAGGCTGGGGATGAGGGACAGGCACGCAGGCCACTCACTGAATCGAGTGAGACAGGAAGAGCAGGTGAGGTTCAGAAACAGAGACAGTGCGCGGGAAGGGGAGCATCTTCCTCTGCCCCAGGGGGTCACTGCAGCCGGCAGAGAGCAGCTGGGGAGAGCTGGCCAGGTGGGCCAGGGGTGGGGGCCCGCCTTCCCAGGAAAGAGGACAGCAGGGCAAGGCCTGGCACCCGCAGGCTGCCTCTGGACAACCACACAGGAGATGCAGTTAGATCCCTGGGTTGGGAAGATCCCCTGAAGCAGGAAATGGAAACCCACTCTAGTATTCTTGCCTGGAGAATCCCATGGACAGAGGATCCTGGCAGGCTACAGTCCATGGACCTGCAAAAGAGTCAGATATTACTAAGTGACTAAACACACACCAGGTATATATTGTCTCCTGGGTGCAGCCCAGACTTCAGGACCTCACCCAAGCATGCCGCTGGGAGCCAATACTTGAAAATCCTCACTCAGGACAGAGACTGGGAAGCCTGGGAGATCCTAGCTGTGCTGCAAGACCCTTCATGATTTGGAGCCTCAATTTCCTCCCCTGGAAATGGGAACAATGAGAGTTAGATAAAATCACATCAGTGGAAACATCTTCCTCAGTGCTTGGTGTACAGAGTGGAGGAGGGCCACACGCCCCTGTTTCTGAATCAGTAATAATATACTCAGGCCTGAGATTTACTCCCAGGAAACTCAAAGCACTTCTCTGGTGTTGACCCTTCTGGTCCCTCGCCCACACCCCTTGTTTGTATATCACTTGAGAGTTTTTGAAGCATTTTCACCTAAAGTGCGTTCACCCTGCTAGAACAGTATTTCCCAAACCCCAGCCACTTTGCGATTTTTCCCAGATTCAAGTGTCTCCTGTGCTATTATTTGCTCAATGCCTTTCTTTCAATCACCTCGCAATTTTCTCTTTGCTTCAAGAGCAAACTACATAAATGAAATACCTGGAAAATAAAACAAATGCATTCAATGTGTGCTGGCTAACCTCACCTGCCTGTAAAGCTAGCTCCAAGGCTTTTGTTAAAGGAGTTTAGCAAGTGTGAAAGAAGTGCTAACCCTCTACCACCTGTCTGAGACCTCCTCCTTGAAACTGACAGGAGATGGGGAAAAAAAAAACACACAACAAAATGAACCAAGAATCGTTTCTGTGTAGCATGATCCCAGGGTGGTTAGGGGTGTTTTGTGGGGTGTCACTGCCATCATTCTACTTACCGTGGTGGTGTGAGTCCACACCGGGAGCTTGTTGAACCTCACTGCAACAATCCTGAGTAGATATCGCAGTCCCCATTTCACAGGTAGAAAAACTGAGGCCCAAATGGATTTGTCTAAGATGACATGGCCATGGCAGGACTTGAACGAGAGACCGTGTATTCTCTGTGTCTTGGGGCTTTGACATGACCTAGAAGGATGGGGATCCTTGTCCATGCTGGTTTCCCGGGGAATCTCTGACAAAATTTTCACTCCTCCCACACGGCCAGTTCTGCTCCTGGGAAAAGGATGGGTTTGACAGAGCCAAAGGCAGAGCCAGAGGAGAAGGAATCTGGAGCTGGGAGGAAGCCCCAGAACCTCAGGCAACCTCATGGCAGCCATCAGATTGGTGAGTTCTTTTCAGATGTTGTTGGTGAGTGGCTGGCGTCTGTAAGAGTCCCGGGCCCCTCTGCTGGCCAGAGCACTGAGGTCTGGGCCAGTTTGCCACTCAAGACAAGGCCCTGAACGGTCTCCCTGCCCCCCGCTGGTCAGTGACACAAACCAGCCTCCCCAGGAACCTTCACATCAAAGTGGACAAGCCAGGAGAGGGTGGAGAGGAAGGAGATGGGGCCCACTGCTCCCTCTGCTTCCTTCCAAGGAGACTGGGCCAGGGGCCATTTCCGATGGATGCGGAGCGCCGCATCTCCGGAAGGAGATGACATTCCAGCCCCACCTCCCAATGCAAGGCCCTCTCCAAGACAGCTCTCTCTCTGGGCTGCCCTCCTGAGCACGCGTGTCATATGCTACTATCAGGACTGACACGCTATACCCCGGACAGGCATGCCAGCCAGCAGTAAAAGGAGGCTGCAGGCTCAGCCCAGTTTCCCCTCCCTCACTGATTCACTGATTCATTCAACAAACATCTGAGCACTTAACTGTGTGCCAGGTGCTGGGCACTGGGGATACCGTGGTCAACAAGAACAGCCTGCCTCTGAGGAGTTCATAGTCAAGGAAAAGTGACAGGAGCTGGGACTTCCTTGGTGGTCCAGTGGCTAAGACTCTGCACTCCCGATGCAGGGGGCCTGAGTTCAATCCCTGATTGGGGAACTACAGCCTGCATGCTGCAACTAACTAAGAGTTATGTGTTGCAACTAGAGAATCCCACGTCACAACCGAGACCAGGTGCAGCCAAATGAATTAATTTTTTTTTAAGTGGTAGGCATTGATCTAAGAACTCCACAGTTGCAGGTGCAACTTACAAGGAGAAAGCAGGAGTGAAAGGGACTATAAGGTGCTGGAAGACCTATCGTGAGCTCCTGACCTGCCTGGGGAGGCTTTTAAAAGATGAAGCGATCCTTAAGGTGAAAGCAAAAGGGTGAGTTCTCTAGGTGGAGAGGGATGACAGGGTTCTGAGTTGGGGGAATGGCATGTGCAAAGGCCCTGTGGCAGAAGAAAGCCTGCCCTGTATAGTTGTGTGGGAGGACGCCTGGGAGGCTGGAATGCCTAGGGAGATGGGGACACATGCTGCTCACTGAGGCTGGTTGTGTGCAGAGTCTTGACAGCCAGTTCAAGGGTTTGGTCTTCATTTTAAGAGTAATGGGGAAAGACTTCCCTGGCGGTCCAGTGATTAAGACTCTGCCTTTCATTGCCAGGGGTGTGGGTTTGATCCTTAGTGGGGAAACTAAGATCCCACATGCTATAGGGTGCAGTCCAAAATTAATTAAAAAAAAAGAACAACCATTATTAAAAGTCAAAAGAAAACAGGTGTCAGCAAGGATGTGAAGGAAAAAAACCCTGTACATCATTGGCAGGAGTGTAAGATGATATAGTTACTATGGAAAACAGGGCTTCCCAAGTGGCGCTAGTGGTAAAGAATTTGCTTGCAATGCAGGAGACTTGGGTTTGATCCCTGAGTTGTGAAGATCCCCTGGAGGAGGGCATGGTAACACTCTCCAGTATTCTTGCCTGGAAAATTCCATGGACAGAGGAGCCTGGTGGGCTATGGTACATGAGGTCGAAAAGAGTTAGACACGACTGATGCGACTTAGTTCGCACACATCTGGAAAACAGTATTGAGGTTCCTCAAAAATAACAGTAACGCAGGAGATAGTCAAAAGTTTTAAACAGGGAACAGGATAGGATCCAATTTTCATTTTGGAAAAGTCCTGATTGCCCTTAGAGAAGCCATGGAGGGCAGTCAAAGGAATTGTGGGGAGCAGGACAGAAAGGGAAGGTAAGTTGTGCAGGAGAAATGTGGTCTAGCTTGGGTAGTAAGAGAGGTGGTGGCAAGGGACCGACCCAAGACATCCTCAGAAAGTCCAAGATAATCTGATTCCTTGGTGACTGGCCACCAGAAGCCAGGAGAATCAGGGATAAAAAAGAAAAACAATGGCACTAACGTTGTGGTGTTGATTCTTCTACACAAACAAAGAGAAAGCCAAGACCTCATTGTATTTTGCTGCTGCTGTTGTTCAGTTGCCCAGCGAGTCCGACTCTGCGACCCCGTGGACTGCAGCACGCCAGGCTTTCCTGTCCTTCATCATCTCCCGGAGTTTGCTCAGATTCATGTCCATTGAGTCCGTGATGCTACCTAACCGTCTCATCCTCTGTTGTCCTCTTCTCTTCCTGCCTTCAATCTTTCCCAGAATCAGGGTCTTCATATCTGATTTTTTACTCACTCCCTCTTCTTTAACAAGCTTCACCTTGCTGACTGTCTAGCATGACCCTGGAGAAAAGGACTATCATTTACTTCCCCAGCCCCTGATCGTCTGGCTGTTTAGTTGTCTCTATTTTTGCTTTTGTAAACAATGCCACAATGAGTGCTCTGTGGCTAAGTATTTGTAGCTATGCTTCTATATTACACATACTTACAGCCTTCCTTAGGCGAGGTTTCTAAAAAATGACCTGTCTTTGTTTTAGCAGCATTTGGCCAGTTTGCTCTGTGGGGATTTCTACCCTTTGACCATCTGAGGATGCACATTGCTGGAGGAAACCTCACCGACGCCTAGAAGGTCAAAGCAGTTGTACCTTTAATATCCGCTGCCTGGGGAAAAAAAGAAGACCATATTGAGTGAAGGCTATTATGAATTCCACAGATCGTTGAAATGAATTTGTGTCTCATCTGTCCTGTGGCCTCCATGCTTCCACTTGAAAGTGGTTCCAGTCTGTGGGGGCGGGGAAACATAAGGATTTGAGGACGACTTTGCTTTCTGCCAGACCCCTCTCAAGGGTCCTCTCCCAGAGAGATGGCTGGAGAAGTCATTCCCTACTCAGGACCCCTGCAGTGAGGAGATGGGAGCCGCTGAGCTGGAGGATCTAGGGGAAGTGGGGAGGGGAAGATGAGCGGGCGCTGGGGATGGCTAGAGGCAGGGCCTCTTCCTTGAGGACCCACCCTCTGGCTATTTCCTAAAGCAGGTCTGAGCCTTGACAGCAACGCTGGCTACAGAACTTTGGGGCCTGGTGCAAAATGAAAATGTGGGACTCCTTGCAAAATTATGAGTAATTTCAAGACAGTGACAACAGAACATTAAACCAAGCACGGGGTCCTTCAAAGTGTTGGGCCCTATGTGACTACACAGACCACATGCCCAGGAATCTGATCCTACGTGGCCAGCCTCTCTTTTCCAGAAGAGGCGCCAGGGGCATGGAGCAGCAGAGAGGAAGTGAGGGAGGCCGTCTTGTGGGTAGGGCAGTTAAGAAAGGGCCAGGGGCCAGCCCAGCCCAGCCCAGCCTTGGCTTGTGGCCGTTCCAGCCGGGGATCCCCTGGGACTTCATTGAGGTTGCTTGTCAGACTGAGGTAGTGGATGGATGGGGTCCGGAGAGAAACAGACGCGGCCAGAGGCCTGGTAGACAGGCGTGCACAGAACACCTCTGCAGCCTCAGGCCATGCAGCAGAGCAGGGAGGCTGATTCACAGCCATCCCAGGGGGAGGAGGAAGGGGGTGGGCAAGGTCACCCTCAGGGATGAAGGGCGCGGATTTGAGGGGCCCGGAGAAGGATGCTGAGATTAACAGCAGGGACTTCCCTGGTGGTCCAGCGGCTAAGACTCTGTGCTCCCAATGCAGGGCTCCCAGGTTTGATCCCTGGTCAGGGAACTAGATCCCACATGCTGCAACTAAAGACCCTGTGTGCAGCAACTAAGACCTGGCATAATAAAAATAATTAAAAAAAAAATTTTTTAAAGAGAGAGATATGAACAACAATGTGAGCACCAGTGGCCCTTCCCCACTGTCCCTATCTCAAACCTTACGCCAGCAACACCTATACTGGACAGATAAGAAAACAGAGGCCAGAGATATTAAGCAGAAGTGAGAGGTTCCAACTTCCACTCACTTGCCCTTACTTGTCCTGCAAGGGACAGATGGGGGAACAGAGGCCTGGAATGATAGGGAACTGGCCACCCACTAAGGGTCCCAACTCCCAGAGCAAGGCTTCCCCTCACAGCCATTGCCCCTGCCCTTGGGGTCCTCACCTCTGGTTCCTCCTCCCTCCACTTAGCCTGTCTACTGGGCCTGGGGGCCTGGGCAGGTGTGTATGTGTGTGTGTGTGTGTGTGTGTGTGTGTGTGTGTGTTTCTATGTACCAGACATGCAGGAGCTTCCTCCCCCCAACCCCCGCCACAAATCTAGAACCAAGGCCAGCTCCATGGCCACGTTGCCTCTCCCGGTTGACCTCCAGATGTGTGTCCCTGGTACCTTGGTTACTGTTTCTGAATCAGCCATGTGGTGGCCCTTCCACTGTATCCGGGTTTGATCGTCCATAAAAAAATTAATGGTCCCTGAAAATAAAGAAGCACAACAACAGAGGAAGGCTTTTTAGACAATCAATTAAAAGCCTAAGAGAGGGATTATCTCATTGAAATATCAATTTTTAATAGCACCACATCTCTGAGTTTCCTCTCAAAAAACTTTGCACAGCTCATTTGCCAGCCCTGGTTTATAACTTCCATCTCTTTGCTGCTTTTGACCGACCTGTACCTCTGGGACTGGCCTTGGGGAGCCCAGAGCAGGGGCCTGGGAGGGAGCATGGATGGTCATTCATTCATTTGTTCACTCATTCATTCATTCACCAAAGGCTCAGCAAGTTCCTGCTCTGTGGCAGGCATAGGTGCTGGGGGAAACCAAAGTGACTCATAAGAACCAGATCCCAGCCCTTAGGGAACTCACAGGCTAGCAAGTCAGCACCAGCCAGGTGAGTAAATCGGTAATTACAGAAGGAGAAGCCATCTGGAAAAATCAATGTCCTGGGACTGAGAAGGAGGTTAATGGGCACAGAGGAGGGACTATCTGTGTAGCTAGCGAAGCCAGGGGAGGATGTGAAGGCAGAAGGAAGAGCACAGCTGGAGGCCCCGGGGCAGGAACGAACGTGGGGTTTTGGAGGAGTTGAAAGGAGACTAGTGGGGGCTGGGATGGTGAGTGAGGGGGAGAGGATGGTGGAGGAAGCGGGGCAGACAGACACCATTCTGACTTGCAGGGGCCCTGGAAGCCCAGGAAGGGGCCTGGGCTATATTTAAAGTACAGCAGCCACTGGCGCAGTGGTAACTGGCATCCTGGCTAGGCAGCGGCGGCCTGGACTCAGGAAGCCGCCAGGGGTCTCAACCTCAGTCTTTCTCACCTGTAAGGTGGGATGATACCGGTGATCCCCTCACGGGGCTGCGACAAGCGTCGAAAGAAGTAATAGAGGCAGAATGCCTGGTGTGGCTTCTCTTTTTTCTAACCCTTCCCCTTAGCTTGATAGCTTCCTCAGTTTACCCCTTGGGGATTAGGCGATCAGATTAATTTTGTCTGATAAAGGACTCCCACCAGACAAACTCCCGAGGGATTTTGTTACACGCCTAACTCCAATTTATCAACCCAGGGAGTGGGTTGGTGGGGAGTGGGTGGTGGTCCAAGGGCAGACAAAGGTGCCTTTGTTCTCTCAGCACGACTGCTCAAAACCCATTCCATCCTGGAATTAAGATACCTTGGGCAACAGGGCAACTGGGCGGGTGATCAGGTGGAGGTTTCTGAGATGCGATGGGGAGCAGAGACAACTGAGTGTGGCTGGGTGGCGTGGTGCAGAAAGGCAGGGATTGATCTTGGACGGAGATTCCCACCCCAATGTGCACAAAAGCATTCACTCTTCCTGCCCAGACAACTGGTCTCCCACACAGACACAGTGGTGGGAGTCCTTGGACAAACAGCAATACCACTGGATCCCAAAGCCCATGCTGGGGCTTGACAAGTGTCGTTTCTAACCACTATAGCACCCCGTGTGACATATGTGGAAACTGAGGCTCAGGTAGGTGGTGCTCAGTTAGTGGTACGGATGAATCCACATCTCATTGACTGCTTTCTTTTTTAAAAAACTTATTTTATTTGTTCATTTCTGGCTGTGCTGGGTCTTCGTTGCTGCATAGCCTCTTCTGTATTTGCTGGGCGTAGGGGCTACTCTTTATTGTGGTGCTCGGGCTTCTTACTGTGGTGGCCTGTCTTGTGGAACACAGGCTCTAGCTGCAAGGGCTCAGTAGTTGCGACACACAGGCTTAGTCGCCCCACATGTGGGATCTTCCCAGACCAGGGACTGAACCTGTGTCTTCTACATTAGCAGGTGGATTCTTTACCACTGAGCCACCAAGGAAGCCCCTTGACTGCTTTCTTATTATAATAGAGGTTAATGTGTGAAAGTCACTCAGTCATGTCCAACTCTTCGCAACCCCATTGACTGTATAGTCCATGGAATTCTCCAGGCCAGCATAGTGCAGTGGGTAGCCTTTCCCTTCTCCAGGGGATCTTCCCAACTCTGGGATCGAGCCTAGGTCTCCCACATTGCGGAGATTGCTGAGCCACCAGAGAAGGATTATGACCCTATCACAATAACCTGGAGATTCCCAGGACACAGTTGCTGGGTGCCCTTGCATACGCCTCTTGGCTCTCTGGACCTCAGTTTAACTCATCTGTGTAATGAGGTCCCCAACTCTGACTTGCCTGAGTTAGAGCATCAAGTCATCAAGTCAGGTGCTGGAGGAGAAAGAGTCTTGAGTGATAGCAAGGGAAGAGGGCTTGGTGACAGTGGTCACACCATTATTATCTTATACTCCGCGCCCCCCCCCCCACCCTCTGCCCCCTGAACATGCACAGAGCCTCTGCTTTGAACTGGGCTCAGATCTGGGCTGAGGGCTGTTAGCCAAGAATACCTGGTCTTTGGAGCTGCCTGGATTCGAATCCTGGCTCTATGATTTACTGGCTGGTTCCTTCCCTCTCTGGGCCTCAGTTTCCTCACCTTGCCATTGATCACTTCTGGAGGTAATGCTTGTGCTTTGAATGATACTTGCCCTCCTTTCCTGGAGGAGGCGGGTGGGAGATGCAGATTCCCACAGGCGGGGGCCCGGCCGTTAGAGCGCGAGGTCCCGGTGCGAGCAGAAGGCTGCAGTCCCGGTGGAGATGTCAACCTGTCTGACTGCACATCGGCACTCCAGCCGTGGGGCAGCTATGGAGAGGATGCTGTGGAAGCCAGCGGGGGCAGAAGAGAGGGGCCTGTCAGGACTTTATCCTGGAGCAACAGGGCCATGAGACCAAGGCCGAAGGGGAATGTGCTTAAGGGCATGTCTGAGCCTCCCTCACCCACGGGTCAGGATGTGGAGCGAGACTTTATCTGTCCAGCAGTGGAAAGCCATGGTTAGTTCTTCTTGTTGTTGTTTTTTTTTTTAAATAATTTTATTTACTTTTGGCTGTGCTGGGTCTTCACTGCTGCTTGGGCTTTTCTCTAGTTGTGGGCTTAGAAGTCATGGCTCCTGGGCTCTAGAGCACAGGCTCTGCAGTTTAGAGCAGGGGCTTAGTTGATCCGCGGCATGTGGGATCTTCCCAGGTCAGGGATGGAACCCCCGTCTCCTGCATTGGCAGGCAAATTCCCTCCCACTCACTGAACCCCATGGCTAGTTCTTGAGTGGGGGCAGGGGGCTCGGGATGTGCCTCTCTGACGTGGGGGGAAGCCTGGGAAGTGAGAAAAGCTGAGAAAGGTTTATACCTCTCCTGGCCCCCTCCCAGAGCAGGAGATGGGAGTCTGAGCACCATGGAGACCACCCCTGTGCAGCTGGGTCTGTGGGGCTGGTGGAGAGCTGAGAGGCTTTCCAGGGAGCCCTTGATCCACTGGGAGGCACCCGCCTGGGGCCTGGGAGGCAGCTGGCTGCTTGCAACCCTACAATTAGTAGATAGAGGAGCTGAGTGGTGGTGGGGGAGGCGGGGAGTAGGTTGAGAGTTGCAGCTGATTCCTGGACGCTGCCTGTCTCCAGCCCAGCACCCACTGTCCCAGAGGGGTGCCCAGGCTGGCTGGTGGGCCCCCCAGGCCGACCGGGAGCTAGGGTCTCGGCAGGGGACGGAGAGCATAAGGAAAGCCAGAAAAATAACACCAACAGTGAAGCCATCTTCTGTTGGGAGAATCCAGCTGCTACTGTCTGCCTTTCACAGATAAGGAAACGAGAGCCCAGAGAGGGGCAGGAGCTGGCCAGAAGACACACAGCCAAACAGAAAGCAGCTGGGTCCAGAAATCAAGCTCACCTGGAGGGCTGGGATGTGGGGACTCACTCCTGGGCATAAATCTCAAGGCAGGGACCCTAGGGGCTGCCTGGTAGGAGCAACACAAACTTGACTGGAGAGCAAGGGGAGCACAGACGCCAGGGCCCCCAGCCTCACGCTGCAGGGGGAGGAGGGGCCGGGCAGGGCAGTGTCTGGCCCGTCAGGTTCTGCAGCTTGTCCGGGCACTCCAGGTCTATGAGAAGAGGCCCTGGCACTGCTGCCCCCAGGTTGTTGCAGCTTTCAGTGACTGGGAGACTTCTCAGCTGACCAGTAGAAAGTCATCTAGGACCGGTCCTGCAAGAATTGCAGTAAAGCTGGAGTCAGGGGTGGTGGTGGTGGTTCTGGCTTCAACCTTCTACCATCTCATTCATCCAGCCATCCATCCTTCGTTCTTTCCCTTTTTTAAAGACGCTCACTAGGCCCAAGGCACTGTGCTGATTGCTGGAAGGTTTCTCTGCCCTCCAGGAGCACCTGGTGGGGTGGAAGAAGCAGACAAATACACAGCCCAAAAGAACCAAGTAGACTGAGCTTTGAGAGGCTGGTGGGACTTTGACAGGGAAGGGGCAAATCTGAATGGCAGGAAGAGGGTTCAACATGGCTCGAGCTGCAGGGTCTGTGGAGCGGGGTGGTGCCTGGCCTTGGAGGGGTAGGGGAAGGGGGTCATCATCAGGAGTGTGGGCTCTCGCCTCAGACTGCCTGACCTGGAATTCCAGGGTCACCACTAAGTAGCTGTGTGGCTTTGGGATAGTTTCTATTTTTTTTTTTTTTAATAATTTCTAAACATTTTAATTTATTTTTTGGCTGTGCTGGGTCTTCATTGCTGCGTGAGATTTTCTCTGGTTGTGGTGAGCGAGGGCTTCTCTTTGTTGCTGCGCAGGCTTCTCAATGCCAGGGCTTACCTTATTGCAGAGCACGGGCTCCAGGGCAGAAGAGCGTCAACAGTTGTGACATGTGGGCGCGGTAGCTGCAGTTCCTGGGCTCTACAATGTGGGCTCAGTGGTTGTGGCCCATGGGTTTGGTTGCTCTGTGGCATGTGGGATCTTCCCAGACCAGGGACTGAATTCATGTCTACTGCCATGGCAGTGGATGCTTTACCGCTGAGCTACTAGGGAAGCCCCGGCTTTGGGACAGTTACTTGCTCCCTCTGAGCCCCTGCATCCTTGGTGTAAAGTGAGATGACGCTGGGACGCCCTGCCTCACAGGGTCGTGAATCACACGGTGTGGCTCAATACACGTTAACTGTTCTTGGCACTGCTGCCCATGGTGACAAGGAGCCTGCAGGAGTTCTGAGAGGCAGAGTGACATGTGAACTTGGCCTGGCCGTGCTTCACACACTCAATTTCCTCACTTGTTCAAAGAAAGACTGGACTAGGCCAGGGGCAGGACACGCGCCTACTTCTGGGGGCCAGGCGGTGATAGAGGCGAGGAGGTGCAGGTGAAGCTACAGGGAGTGGTGGGGACTGTGGTTCATGGGTGCCTGTGCGCTCCTCCAGGGAGCACCTACCTCTTACCTCCATAGCAGTGGCCATGCAGGAGTGTGAGCCCAGTGTGATCTGACGTGCTGAGATCTCAAGGGGAAACCCACATTTTTTATGAGGAAACTTCCCATTATTAACATCAGCAATGCATTAAATATAATTTTTCAAGCCTGATGTGAGCCAACGTTGATGCTTCTGTTTGGCAGATATTGCTGCCACGACCCCCAGGACGCAAGGGCTCTGAGCCATGAGACAGCGTGAGTTCCAGGGCCAGAGAACCTTCCAGCCCCGTGTCTGTGGCTGCACTTCCCTCCCAAGACTTTCCGGCTCCCTTGTATGTGGGAGGCCAGACCCTCTCCTCTCTGACCGTTCTCAGGAGTAGCCCCGCCTGCAGACAGGGGCTGTAATGGGGCCCCTGCTCCACGCTATCTCTCCGGAGGTGCCGGGGAGTCTGGGGGAGCCCGTCGGGCTGGATGGTCTGCTCTGTGTCTGGGAATGGCAGGTCTGCCTGGGGGCCTAGGGGGTGGCTCTCAGGGCTGCTGTCTGTGAGCGCCTGGCTCCTGGGGGTCAAAGGGCAGCGCTTTCAACCTTTTCTGGGGCCCACTTCCTGTTTGGGAGAGAAAACAGCAAGACCCCCAGCAGGAAATGTTCCTCTTCCCGCAGAGCCTTTTCTCTTTTCTGCTGGCTCTGGCTTGTGGAGAAAGGCCCATGTGGGGGGATCCATGTGGGGTTTCTCCCACTCCTCTCTCCCCACCTTGGAGCCCAGGAGGGACCTGGGGCCTCTGTGTCATGACAGCAGACCC